ATAGTTAGTCATAAGAATCAAATTATATTAATATCAACAGGAAAACGGAGTGAAGTTATGCCTGCAGTTTGACTTAACGACAAACTGATGTTTTGAGACATCAGTCATTACATTATCCTATCCATCTAGCCTTTTACTTGAGTTCACTATATTTTATTATTTCCAGTAGTCTCGGAAAACAAAACTTTTGAATAATTTAATACCTTATTCTTTTATGCATAATAGTTGTGATGTCCATTAAGAAAGAAAACAGTGATTCAAGATCGAACACATAACTAGGAGTAATTTATCACCACAAGTAAAAACCACTTCGTACCTTAACTTAAGTGGGTAGAGGAAACTAGAGCTAGCTCGATCTTTTTGGCCTTTGAATAATTTAGGTTGATCCCGCAAAAACTCGTTGTATTGCACAACGAACAGTTATTAAAATATTGTGTTTGTTATAGCCCGGTATATATTTTGCCCTAAATAGTTTTGAAATTTTTAAAAGGATGCTCAAACAAATTGTACGTGTAACTCTCGTTTGCAGTAATTTCATTTACTATATAGATTTATTACACTCTTTATTATTTAATATATATGTTATGCTCTGTATATATATTTTTTTCTACAACCGAGACTGGGCAGTAACTTTCCTGTATTCGATTCCAATGTTATAATTCATAAACTCCAAGAAAAATGTCTATTCTAGTCAAGCCTAACAAATTAATCACAGCAAGCACTGAAAACACCATTATTAACTTCTAGGAAAACAAAGATTGTCTAATTCCACGCTGAAAGCCTTATACTTAAAAATACAAGACAATCTGATTCAAAAGTTAAGACTATGGAAATTGTGATTTTTTTATTATTCTTACTCTCACACCTTGTAACACCTCATCAAACATTCTATCACACAAAATTGGATACGACTGATTCTTTGCACAAAAAGATTGGTAGGGGAAGTGCGGTAAGACGGTCCCCTTCTTTAAAATAGCTTCCCCTTTATATCATCAGCTACGATAAGCTGCATTGTTCAAGAGATCCCACGAATAAGCAAAATGGCGAACGGGCAGATTGTGAATAATTAAAGAGCGACTTCGTCTTTTTTTTTTCTTGAAAAACTTTAATCTAAGGTAAGCACTTTAATTTTTTATGGTTAAAAAGTAGATGTTTCGGTGAATTTTACTTTATTTTAAACAATGAGAAATTATAGACAGAAGAATGTGTTATAAAAGAAAGTTCACGTTTATAGAGTTTTATAACGTGCTATTTCTTTACGATGAGTGGATTAGAGTAAGACGCTCCTTCCACCCGCGGGATCGTCTTACTTTATACTAATGACGTTTATATCCGCCATGGGCATCGGCCACAGTGTACGTCATTGCTCCACACAAATACCGACATTCTTTTGCGCACAACCTTCCCTAACTCTGCTGGGAGTGTTAAATGATGATTTAAGTGATTGTTTTTATCCAACCTTGTAGATTAAACAATCCTAACTGTAAGAAGTGTATTTTATTTCAGCATCTAAAAATGTTTATGTCCAGTCATTATTTTAACTAGTGTTGACATTTACAATAGAGCATAACTCGTTTTAAAACCTTTTGCTTTTTTCATGACATTGATTTGAATTGGTGAAGAACGCATTCAAAGTTAGGTGACCGTCTTACCTCACCTTCAGGATACTTGTTCTCTGTTTATTATAATTTCAAAAGTAGTGTTCATTTTGCATTTTTTTTTCAGATAAACAGAGAAAATGTTACATGGTGATCATTTATTTTTAAAACAACCACTTTCTGTAAGGGAAATGTCTTACCTCGAATGATCACACAAATGGAGTTGAGCACTGAATGACACTTTTAGTAATCGCTATGAATTATAGTCATTCCTAATTGGGACGTTAAAAAATCACATTATGATACTCAATACGTAACTGAAGTCTTTACACAAGTTTCAAGAAGAAAAGGTCACTTAACCGGTCATTTATTAACGGTATTTCTGACGTTAATATTTTGAGAAACATTATTCAACTCTTGGATTTATACAAAGTAAAATGTTGGTAAGTGTTAAAAGCAATTATGCTTCTTATCACGATAGTATTTGTAATTACACGACAAAGTTCTGTTTTTAAGTCAATCAGTTTTAAAACATTTCTCGTGTAATAATTGTTAATCTACCATGACGACATGTATATTTTTAATTTTCTCTCTTACCCTGATTTGGGGTTTATCATTTATCCTATACAATGATCATCAGAATTAGGACAACATAATTTTGCATGCATTATTTTTATTTGCCGTTGAATATACGCTTGAGTTGTTTTCTGGTGTTTTTTTCTTTTAACTAACTTAGATGGTACATATAATGTAAGCTCAGAAAAATGCTTTTGATTTATCAAAAATCTAAAGTTTTGTTTAACTTTGAACCTCAGTGCCATCTGTTGAATGTTAATTGAAGTGTTTCGTATTAATTGTTTTTGTTTTCAGAAAAAGTCTTATTTTTCTAATTCTTTTTTTTTAAATGAACATTTGTAATAGAATAGATGCTAAAATAACAAAAATAAATACTGGATGTAGACTACAGAAGTTCCAGTATGAGTAAGAACTGTTAGCTGTCATGAGATAAATCTACGACTTTATTTTTTGCAATATATATATATATATATATATATATATATATATATATTCTACTAGTTTAATGATTTTTTTTCTGAAATTCTAGATAAAAGAAAGTACTATGTACTAGAAAAACAAAGACTCACTTGTAAATTTCTATTTATTTTTTGAAATATCGTATATTACATTAAAGAAAATGAAAATATTAAGTTAACGTTGCTACATTAAAAATGCACATATTCAGGTTACTGTTAAGATCTTCTCTTAGATTACAGTGATTCAGGGGGGCAATTTGAATATATGGGGGGGGGGCAATTTGAAAATGCTACAATAAGAAAATTTTTTCATTTGGTGTGAAGAACGAAAAAACGTTCGGAAACTTTGAATTTGTTCAATTTTGACCTAATATTGTAAATTTAAAGCGGTATTATTAATCAAACACCTATTTTTTAGTAAATTTTTAAATTTTACATTATATTATTATTATTATACCTTTTCAACACCAAATTTGTTTTTATATTAAGGGGGCATCAAATTTTTTGAGGTCGGGCAAGGAGCAAAATAGGTTAAAAACCACTGTTTTAGAACATGAAGTTAAAAAAAGAACAATTGAGATATCACGAGATAAGAAGATACAAAAACTAAGTGTTCAAACAGCTAACACTTGACACCACAAACTAAGCAGCCCGTACAAAAATCCCATGAATAACAGATTTCCAGAATAAATCTGAGATCAATTTAATATTTCAATACTATTGCATCTCCGAATGCGGTAGAAAAACAAGTGGTAATATTATATTGAGATAAATAAAACGTCTATGGGAAGCGTTGCAAAAATATGAACTGTTATATCTTCACATTGTGTGTGCTTATGTAAGTAGTATTTGTATACAGCTAATATCTGTTAAATTACGTAATGTTCTAACTATACTGATTGTTTTAATAACAATATTCTACTAATATGAGTGTTAAAGTACAACTGCACTCGCTTAAGCCAAACTGTTGCGAAAGTTATGCGGTTTAGTTAGTATGAATACTTCACGTGCTCTCGTGACGTAATGTCAGTGTTTGCACAAAGCTAGACCGCCCAATTAAATATTTTTTGCTAAGAATTATTTGTTTAGGAAAAGCTATGTTAGTTTGTAATTTTTAAATGTTTTTTTTTGAGTTACTCCTTACCTTGTATTAGAGTTAACATTTACTTACGTTCATCAGTTGTAAACGTTAATAAACATTCAAATGTAAATAGTTATACCCTCTAAAGTTGTTAATATCCTTTATTTACTGTGAAAGAAGTGATTTTTATGACATACTATGATAACGTGGTTAGTGTTTCAAAAATGGTTAGAGAAATTGTCACTTTTTGTATATCTAAAAAACAAATACTTAGAGTACTAAGTATTTCAGTAATAGAATTGTTAATCTGAATTTTGTTTTTAAAGTTTAACTGAAGTATTCGCGGAAGTAATCATGGCAGCAGATGGACTGGTGTAGAGCGGCCAGGATACATTTCCCAACTGTTATTTTTGTGGTCTGAAATATGTTTGAAATCTGCATGATATAAAAAGTTCATCTTTATTGTTGTATGATAAATAACACTAGAAATCTAAACTGATTTAGGTTTTGGTTTCATGACGCAAGCTAATACTCCTAAAGATCATTAGTTCAGTGGAACTTCTTAAAATATGTTGTTAATTTATTATCATTGAGAAACTGTGACTTTTACTAGCGTCAAAACTCGGGTATTATAAAAGCAGCTTTTAGACTGAAAGATAATTGAAGAACTAGTGAGAAATATTTTAATGCACGTACAAAATAACACATAGGGAAGTTATTTTTTCTGTTTCAGTTCTGCTTGTGTCTGACGTATTATCCTTTACAGCGTTTCTGTAGTTGACATATTTTAAACTAAGACTAAACTTCTTGTCT